TACTAATCTCATGAATTTCACTAAAATTTGTTTCCTAGTAATATATATTTACTTGAAATTACTAGTTGCTTACCATCTATCGACCATGCAGCACACATAATTCGTTATTCACACTTTCTTCAATGTGGTGTTTAGAATAGACCATACAATGTTACAAACATATCTTATAATATACATACAAATAAATGTATATTAAGGAATATCCGTAACTCCGATGCCTCTCCGTTTTGTGGGGAATAAAGCAAACAAGAAGCTCGCCACTGTCCCCACCATAAGCCCAAAATACCTAATCGAAATTACCATAATGCCACCCCAATTGTCGCCGTCGTCCTCCGAGAGCAAACACCTCCGAAAATCCGAACTCTCAACGGCTAACGCCAAGAACACGACCACCGACACGAAAGCATGTAAGAAATCTACAAAGCTCAGCTTGTATCTCCGTTTCTTGTCTCCCGTTAAGCCGGACTCCGGATCATAACCAACGTCCGGATAGTCGTTGAGGATGTAGAGACCCTTAGCGGTGGCTATTCCGTAGTAAATGCGGCCGTCTTCTCCTACGAAAGAGTCGGTGAAGGAGGACAAGAAGCATGCGACGGCGCAGAAGGAGATGAGGGAAATGGTGAGGAGTTTATTGGCGGATTTATCAGCGCACTCGCCGCCATTGGAGAAAGACGGGATTAGGGTTTCGTAAATGAGGGCAGTTCCGGTCGGCAAGAGGTTGGCGAAGTTTCCAGCGGCCGGTAGAGATCTAGTGAATGCGGCGGCCATTTCGTACTTTAGTCAGGAGAGGGAGAAGGTTTCTGTATTATATGGAGAAAGAGTGTTTTGTATATCCTTCTATATGTAATGCATGCATGCGTAGGGATACGTTTAATGCGTCTTTATATACATATCTTCAAGGAATCTAGTTTTGTTTGGTATCCCAAAATGTAATAATATACATACACATTTCTAATTGGAAAGTTGGATGTATTTGACGTAATTTTCTAAAACATGTGCTTTATAATTTTAAATTACGGTGGTTGTTGAAATTTTGGTTAACTAGCTAGCGTGGATGATAATAAAATCATATTTTGTAATAAGATAACAAATTACAAATATTTTGTAAATGGTGTGATAAACAACACAAAAACCGACTGTGATTTAGATGAACGGTATAAGATATGATTTCAACTAAGCTTTTATTGT